ACAAAATGCCCGGAGGAGAGTGTGAGACATCCTGTGTATATATATATATATATATATATATATATATATATATATATATATATATATATATATATATATATATATATGTATGTATATATATATATATATATATATGTATGTATGTATATATATATGTACATACATATATATATATATATATATATATGTATATATATAGGATATCTCACATTCTCCTCCGGGCATTTTGTGGGGACGTAGAACAAGTTGAGATGAACATAAAAGTCCTATACCGTTTTGCGATATTGCAATAATTATCGAGATATTAATTGTAGAAAACCTGTAGATGATCATGCAGAATATGGTAAATGAGTTATAGTAGCGACGACTGCCGTCGTGTACTTATACTTTAGGTCAAATTGAACAAAAAAGTCCTCTACCATTTCCCAAATAATCACATAGATTTTTAATTATTAATTAAAGAAGATTATTGCACGATTTTGCGTGATAATGCACTCATCTTCTTTAATTAATAATTAAAAATCTATGTGATTATTTGCAAAATGGTAGAGGACTTTTCTGTTCAATTTGACCTAAAATATAAGTACGACGGCAGTCGTCGCTATTATAACTCATTTACCATATCCTGCATGATCATTCACAAATTGTCTACAATATCTCGATAATTATTGCGAATATCGCAAAACGGTATAGGACTTTTATGTTCACCTCAACCTGTTCTACGTCCTCACAAAATGCCCGGAGGAAAGTGTGAGACACTCTGTGTATATGTGTGTGTGTGTATAATATATATGCTGGATAAATAAATATATATATTTATTTATTTATCCAATAAAATCTCTGTGGATGTGTTGCTTAATTTTCTCTTTCTTTCTTTAATATATTATTATATTAAATCTTTAATATTTACTATAGCATAAAAATGTCAGTGATACAATTTCTACTAAAGTTTAAATATTAATTATTAATTCTAATACTATTTATAAGTTGTGCTTAAGAAGCTAAACACTGCAAGTTTATATTAGAAAATTCACTTAGTAAATTATATGCAATATAAAGTATATTACGCATGATAATAATAATATCCCTCCAATTTACATTTATTTTAAAATATCTTGTTTTCTTTGATTTCAACATTCGTTCTAGTATCACTTTACGATGCCCATGCTTCTAAGTCTTTCAAATCATCATCATCCTCTGCCGCTTTAGCTTCTACAAAAAAAGAAATTAATACATAGCACACTCTGTCCATCACATTGTTATAAGTTGTAATTACATGTATGTAGATTTTTATAATTTTAACGCAACTAAAAATTACATTACATTATTATATAACACACACACACACACACACACACACACACACACACACACACACACACACACACACACATATATATATATGCTAAAAACCCATGATAAATTATTCTCAACTTCATTTTATTGAAGTTGAGAAAATAAAAATGTATTAAAAAAGTAAAATTACTTGTACGACTCTTGCTTGGTACAGCAGGAACTAAAGTTGGTACTGCTGGCAGTTCATCTGTTGTTGTATCATCAATACCAAGCAACTCTTTGTCAAGTTGTTCTTGTTGAAGTTCTTCTAACTCCCTCTCTAACTCATCTTCATCAGCATCTTGACCAAATGCTACTGGATTAGATATTGCATCAGAAATTTCTCTAGCTACATCTTGTTGTTCTGCTATATCATCCATCATATCGTGTACTTGATCAACATCCCTAAAATAAAAACATAATATATGAAAATGTTATTTACCATTACTATAAATCATAAGTTAAATTTATATTAAATATAAATTAAATTTATCATGTGGTTATCAGTTTTTTATAAAACAATCAATTTTATAAATTTTATAAATTATAGCATACTGATTATATAATTTTGAATATCACAATTACAAAAAACATACATGTGTTGGTGTGCAGCTTTCATCGCATCTGCAGCACCCTTCATAGTAGTAAGGACAGCAGTATTCGTGTTTGCACTCTCCAATGCTTCTCTCTGCATTTCAATAGTAGACAATGTACCGTCGATTTGTTGCAGCTGTTTCTCATATCGTTTCTTTCTTTTGAGTGCTTGAATAGCAGCTAAATAATAAGCAATATTTTATATTTGATCAAATTTTATATATATATATATATATATATAGGTTGTATAATTTTTTATGTACAAGTACACGTAGCTTAAGAACAGGTGTACATAGTTATACAAAATATGGAGATAGAAATTTCAAGATATTAATATGATCATACATAAGTAATTTAATATAATAAGTGGTTATATAAATAAAACAATAAAGAAAAGGATAAAGATTGTAATGATGACTACCTAATTACAAAATTAAATCTAAAACTCGAAAAATGTTAATTGCGTGTGTAAAAATGGAATCATACCTCGCTTGTTCTTTGATGCGTTCTTTTTAGCTACTAACATCTCATTGTCTATCTTGCTCTCCAGGAATTCCTGTTTTTTTATTAGCATATCCTCTGTCTCGCGCAGTTTTTGAATCGCTTCGGCTGTCGAAGGAGCAGCTGGCTCTTTCTTGCCGCCAAAGACCTTGCTAAAGAAGCTCATTGCTTCTTGTGTTTCTTTGACTGTCAACGCTTCACTATTTGATACTCAAGATAGTTAATGGATCACACTGCTACAAGACGATCGTCGCCATATTCTTTTCGTATTTGTGACTTATGAGTGCGTCATACCAGAGAGAAGAGAAATGTAATGAGCTGATTTTAGCTGATCCGCGATACGAATCTATACAACCGCGCCGTCTATGGCCCATTTTCTGAAGCGTGTTCGACTGGGTTAATCGCTTCGACAGCGATTAAGACGTCATAAATTTCTACTAGCCAATCATAGGCCGGTATTCATAGTCCAATCTTATAGCAAATTCGGTAGCTTGCACTAGTGCGCACTGAGTTCGCATTAAGGCTTGTTTACAGTATATTCTTATAATTAAGATCGTGTCTTAAATACATATTTAAAAACATTTTAACTAATAAAATGATTCGTACGGATGTTATACATATCATATTATGGTTAAAAATATTTGAGAATTTATTTGAGAATTATTTAAGACAATCTTTAAATATAATAACATACTATGAACAAGCCTTAGTGCGCACTCAGTGCACACTAGTGCAAGCAACCGAATTCGCTATTATATTTAAGATCATCTTAAGTACTGTCTTAAGATGTCATGAACCAATCACAGAGCCGTATTCGCATCTTAAGACATTACTTAAGACGGTCTTGAAATAAGATTCGACTATGAATACCGCCCATAAAGCTTATAAGTACTTGTTCGACCAATAAACGTAGGCTGAATAACAAGAATAGTAGGCTGAATAACTAATCCACAGAGTGGATTAACCCAGAGCCAGTCGAACATGCTATGAATCTTCTTTTATTGATAAAAGGCAATGGGATCTATATCAGTTGGACACGGGGCAATTGGACACAGTCCAATCACAAGTCGCTGTTCCAAGGGACCCTACAAATGTCTCTAATCACACGGTGCTGTGATTGGCTGTGTCCAAATGCACCGTGTCCAAGTGCACCGCTCTCATTATCGGAAACGGGTGGGACCCGTTTGACCACGATACGATTGGACACAGATTGTAATGATTGGTTCGACCTAGTAATTCACTAGATAATTCTTTTTATCGGTTGGTTATGTCCAATCGTACCGTGGTCAATCGGGACGCTCCCATCGGAAACACTTATTGAATTGTCATGAATCATAAAAATACTAGATGTTTGTGACTATCATATTTTTCGGCCCTAGTAAAACTAACTCGTACTAACTCCAACTCGAATTATCGTAAACAACCCTTGTTAGCAATCTAGTTTAGAATAGACATCTGTGAGTAAGCTTTAAGCCTTAAGAAATTGACCAATCATAGTGGAATTATAGAAAAATAATCAATCGTGATTGGTTAATTTCTTACGGCTTAAAGCTTACTACATCTATTGTAGATCGGGACTTATTCTTCACAAAAGTCAAGTTACATCATGAATTATTTTATTATATTCCTTATATCATAATGAAGGTCAGTACATAGCCTACTTTTTTATTTAGACTCTTAAGAAAATTAAAATGTGGCTTGATTTTTTGATAACTCACTATATTTTTTGTCGAATTAATATTTAAACCTTTTTTCTCCAAAAACGCCGACTCTGTACCGACCTACATTAAAACTTCCCGATTACGAATATTGCAACATAAGTACGATTTAATCAGTACTTTGGCTATAATTTTGTAAAATACCAAGCGTAGTTTGTGACTCTCCGCAAGAGGTCTTGTAGACCCTTAAAATTTGAATCGTCGGTTACATATTGTCGTCACGACAGTAGAATATTATGCGTGAGTGGTGTGAGTGCTAAGCCACTTTGTATAATAAAAGCATCATGAAAGTGTAGTACCGTGCCTTAGAGTAAATCATAAGAGAAGAACAAAATTAACGCGAGAAAGGTGCGATTTACTGAATATACCGCGCCACTTCAAAGACCTTACGCAAGGACGAATACACGAGAATTGGGTTCCGTGAAGAGTTCCAATAATAACTTTCTCCGTTTACTTTGTTAGTGTTCGACGCAATGTCCGACACGGTTAGTGATAATGCCAAGTACAAGTGGACGCCCGAGAGTACTGCATTGTTGGTTTCGGTGTGGTCCGACCGACAAGTACAAAAGCAGCTCGAGTATGCTCCGCGACCGCAAGTGATCTGGGAGAATGTTGCGCGGTACATGCGCAAGAAAGGTTACAACGTCGGAGCTAAACATTGCCGATCACGTATGAAACAAGTTCTGGTGTGCTATAAAGAAGCTAAGCAAGCGGGAACGCGCTCCAGTTTAGAACAATACTATGAAATTATTGACAGAGTGATGAAAAGTAAGCGTCTGGAGCAAATTAATGTCAATGGTATAGATACAGTGGGTAGGTAAAATTCTTCAAGGATAAAATGTTTCAACATAAATATTGAGATAATATAGGAGAAATCTTTAGAACATTACAATCTTTTTTAGGATATCATAGTCTTATGTACGCATATTACTATATTCTTTAGATACACATATATTGCTTTTAAATATAGAATATCAAACATATCTTATATACTAGAATAGAATAGATATATAAAATAAATATTGACATTATGTGCTTCTGTAATATTATCAGATGCAACTGCAAATATAAAGTCACCTCCTAAGGATGTGAAGACGAACAAGAATTTACAAATGAGGTTGAAAGTTCAAGAGCCTGTGCAATCTCTTTATCGAACAGATGCATTGTCTCCTACATGGATGATAGGATGTAAGATTTATTGTTTCACAAGTAATTATATTTTTAATGTCAAATATATGATATTTGTTTCCTTTATAGATGAAAATGAGTATCCAGATTCACCTGAATCAAATGAAACTATAATTGCCAGACCATACAAGGTTTTCTCACCTACGAGAGATGTTGCCATAAATACCAACAAGCCACATTTAATCCAAGTTGGTAATCAGGCAGTACAGACAAATTTGATCGCTTCAGAGGAACCAGTGCGGGAGGATTATCAACAAAATTTGTCCCACTATCCATATGGAGAGATTCCTTATCAGAACACAGTGCAGAATGTACAAAACCAGATTATTCAGGAGAATATGCAACAGAATATTCAGCAAAATCAAGTATGGAATCAGTTACCACGGCAAAATGTGCTAACAAACGAATATGTTGGTCTACAACAGAATGTTCTTAATCATGTAAATCGATGCTTGCCGAGCGGCGTGATGCAGGGCAATATGATGCTGATCCAGAATCCTAATGCGGAGAACATTATACATCAGCAAAATCAATCACAGCAGAATACACTACATATGGACAATCGTGCAATGCCTCAGGAACCGCGTAAGATCAGTTTTGGACAGAATCTACAAACTGACAGAATGTATAAGCAATATAAAGACATCGCGCCTCGTTTAGTTTGCGCGATTGATGTCAATAGCAAGAATACTGATTCAATGTCGCCGGATTATTCGCCAGATGTGTCACAGAACTTAAACGATGCTTTTTGCCTGTCAAAGAGCAATGAAAAAACGCACAATTTAAATGAGACGTATAATCAACCTGACCACTTGATTGACAATCCTATACTAAGATCCAATGCAGATGCGACTGTCGTGACGAATAATGCAACTTGCAACGACACTCTGCTGTTGGAATATTTATTAGATTCGCCAACTCCGTCCGAGAACATTGGAAAATTAAGAGATAGCGCCGTAAATACGGATAATGTGCCGAGTGCACCGTTCAGAAAGAAGAAAGCACAGAAATTGGAGCAACTTATGCTCAGCGCAATTAATTCTCAAAATGAAGTTGTTAATAAGGTGAGATATATCACGATATAATGCTTCGCTGTATTTTCATTTCCTATTTTTTTCATAACTTATTCTACTTTATTTTCTTGTTCTCTTCGTTATTAGGTATTGTTAAATTTATTAATAATATTATTAAACTATATGAACATTTTTCTCATATAATTTTTTTTATTCTTTAGATCTTGACTGCTCAGAACAATATGGTGGCGCGATTTTTCGATGTGGACAGAGACCGGCAAAATAAGTTTGAAATCAGACTGGATCATTTATTAAATGTTGTTCATGCCATTGTACTTAACAAAAATGCGGAAGCGGAACGTGGGACGTCGCCGTCACGGTCATCGTCTTCACCAGAACCTGTTATAACTGCTTTGCATCCACCTCCGAAACCTGGAATGGTTCCACCTAAGTTAGATCTGGTCCCACCGAAACCTTGTCGTGTTCCTTGTACAATACCAAGCTCAAATGTCGAATTGATCAATCATAATCCCATCTCGACCAGACCTGGCGTCGTCTCTCCGATTACTAGTCCAGACCGGAAACTCGGCACGATATGGTCGAAATTGGGTCCGGTGTCCCAATCGCCGTTCGTAAAAGCTCAACAACGACTTGGTCTTCAAACTATTGCAATCAAAAACGACGCTCGTATGCAATCCTCGGCGGAGAGACGTATCGCTAAACAACTAGGTAGATCAAATATGAACACGCGAAGCTTGATTTACGAGACTGTTAAGTTACTAGAGATAGAGCGGCAGCTCGAAGAGAAGATCGAGAATGCAAGACTAGAGATGACAATGCGTCAAACCTTAACTGCGCGCAGAAAACTGTTTACACAGCGCGAACCTACTCCTATTATAATATTGACTGCAGCATTCTTAGACGCTGAGTGTTGCATTTATGAACTAGATCCACCCTATCACGGTACGTGGGAGTCATATGTCATAAATCATATTAAGTTAAGGTACACTCAACGAGATAATGTTTTGACCGGGCAGGGTGAAAGCTATGAACGTATGCATCACTTGAATACTGCTCGACGTGATTATTTGGATTGTAAACCATGCAATTCTTCGACACCAGCCAAGTTGCCATCATACAATCCCAGCAACAATGTTGGCGAAACCGCCACACACATTGGAGTCCCGAAGCAGACTATTCAACAACTTGCGCGACTCGTGATGAATAGTGCGAGATGGCGAGATCCAGTTCAACATATTCAACAACTTAATTCAGTTCGTCCAACAATGGCGTCGACTCAATCGAGAAAGCAAAACGTGCCTGATATTGAGTATAACACGACGTTCACTGCCCCTAAAGCTAATGCACCTTCACTAGTTACTGAAAAAAAATTGCGAGCATTCGTAGAAGATTCTGAAGTAATGCAACAGAAACAAGGAAATCATGATGAATTAATGTCATTAGAAAACAATCTGCATGGCCAAACAAAATTTCCCATAGGCTTTACTACCGATATGCTGATTGCTAACGAGCAGGAAGGTGCTACCGTGCCGAAACAAATTAATAACGGTAAAACAATATCTAGATCATTGGAATTCGTCGACAATCCGCAAATCAATCGTAAAAATAATGTTCAATTTTTGGACGACGCATTGGCCGAGTTGCAACATATATATGCTGAACGTCAAGCTGCAGTAGAGAATGCTGGTGAAATATTATCGTTTGCAATAAAGAATAATCACGGTAATAACGACGCGATAAGTCGCAATATGATAGAACGGTATGTGAACGACTTGATGATGCCGATGAAGCTGACTCATGATAAGGATATAGAATCAGACAACGATGACGAGTTCCTCGATACTACCACTAATATGCATTCAAATTGTGTAGCATCTCGCCGAGGCTCACTCACATCAAATGGCACAGTATCGACTGAGACTGCTCGCTCTTTGAAACTCAGCAAAGCGGCAGGCAATAACTGTACAATAAGTTAAGATTATTCTTTTCTGAAGGGTCTAATAAAACGGATTGGCACTTTTGTTCAGTCTGTCTTTAACTTTTAAACTTAACTTTGATGTTTAATGTCTTCGTCATTATTTTGTGCTTCTTTTGTACTGCTCCTTTAAAACTCATGAAAGCAGTAGCTAATCGTTGGTAAATAAGTTAAAAACAGATTTTCTACTAAATCAGTATCAAGTCCAATTCTTTGATACCTGTGGCTAAACTCTAGTTTCTATCTGACATTCTCAACTCTTACGTTTTTCTTGCATTTTGTGTAACCGATCAATTGCTTTCTATGACTTTGTCTTCTATATTTATATATTTTTAATTTGTGAAATCATAGCTCGGCTTGATAACTGTTCTGCTATGCTGAGTCTTCCATTATTTGTTATTTCTCAATGAAAGATCTGTAATTTTATTATCGTGGAATGGACAATTACAGAAATTAAAGTTTGAATTAACAATATAGCCTGAAGTTTTTATAGGTGATAAAATGATCTATTAGTTTACACCGAGAGGACTAAATGTGAACTGACCTATACCGTGACCAATCGCAGTCGATTATTCTTGTAAAAATCAACTGCGATTGGTCACAGTATAGGTCAGTCTGCGTTTAGTCCTCCGGTGTAAACTAAGAAGTATATTCTATAACTTTTGACGACATCATTATGTATCATTGCGCAGATTTTTTGTATTATGAAATAACTACGCAGCGAGACATAACGACATCATTAAACGTTATAAAATAGGCCTCTAAGGCCCGTATTCTGAGTTCTCTTTTAACGATAAATGAGTCTCTAAAAGAGCCACTTAGGAACCACTTGATTGGCTGAGAAGCTACATTTAAGACACTTTTATCGATAAAAGAGGATTCAGAATATGGACCTAAGCATATGAGAACTTAGATTTTACTAGTACAACAATCTATATATTACTAATTCGAAATATCAATAATAGTCTAGTTATATATTGTTTTTGTATTCGTGAGATAATATACATTCCATAAAAGTAATATGTTATATATACGGATAATTTTCAAATCGAATATGCAGTAGTAAATTTGCATAAAATGCAATAACATCTGCTGAGAAGTTTTTCGTTATTTGGATTTTATTATATGATACTTATTGTATTGTCACTTGTGTCCTATATATATATATATATATATATATATATATATATATATATATATATATATATATATATATTTCCTATATATATACAGGATGTCCGTAAATGTCCGAACAAATATCTCGTAACTGATTGAAGTTACAAGAAAGTTTAATAAACGAAATTTACATGGCTCTTAGTTAGCTACAAAATGCATGTAAAAATTTTTTTTATTCGTGACTTTTTCGAGTTATGAAAGTGAACGTAGTTTTTTAAAATAAATACCTATAATTTTTTTGTATATTTGCATAGTACAGGTAATTTGCAATCAAAATTCAGTAAAAAATTGCTACTACGCATCGTTTATGAGATAATCGGCATGTTAAGTTTTAAAATAATAAATTGTATGAATATTCATTGTTATGAGTATTTTTGAATGTTAAATAGGTTGGAATGTAAAACAGATTGAGAAAGTAAACAATGTTTTTTCATGAAATATTTATTAAAACATAAATTGCTCGAAATTTTTACCATCATTGTCGATACAGCATTCAACGCGTTTTATAATGTTTCTCATTGTTAACTGCAGCATTTCTATTGTAATACTTTTAACAGCTCTAGTGATCTTATGTCGTAAATCTTCATTTTCAGGAATAGTCTGGACTTGACACCTTGCGATTTTTTTCTTTGGGGGTATGTTAAGGACATTGTTTATGCAACTATCCCTAAAAAAACATTATTTACTTTCTCAATTTGTTTTACATTCCAACCTATTTAACATTCAAAAATACTCATAATACAATTTATTACTTTAAAACTTAACATGCCGATTATATCGTAACGATGCGTAGTGGAAATTGTTTACCAAATTTTGATTGCATAATTTTAATTGAAAATTACTTTTACTGTGCAAAAAAAATTATAGGTATCCATTTAAAAAAACTACGTTGACCTTCATAACTCGAAAAGGTCACGAGTAAAAAAAATTTTTACGTGCATTTTGTAGCTAAGAATCATGTAAATTTCACTTATTAAACATTCTTGTAACTTCAACTAGTTACGAGATATTTGTTCGGATATTTATGGACGGACACTATATATATGGTAATGGAATTCTAATGGAACCAATCGCATGTTTCTTTGTCAGAATTAACAAATGGAATTGGTCAATTCCGTTGGAATACTAACCGATTAAGTTAATCAAAGTTTGTAGAAACGGGCATAAGTTACACAATTATATACAGTGTATCCGCAATATATATATATATATATATATATATATATATATATATATATATATAAAATTTATATATTGCGGATACACTGTATATAATTGTGTGTTTCTTGTGTGTAAATGTTTCTACAAAACTTTGGTTAATTTAACCAGCATTTTAATAGAATTGACCTGTCGCATTTGTCAATTCTATTCAATAACGGATCAATTCCGTTGGAATAACTGGCCGGTTAAGTTAATTAAAGTTGGTAGAAACGAGCATAAGTTACACAGATTTAAAACAAAGAAACATTATTACCTTTTTAAAATATTACTTTTGTCCCGTAAGAGCAGTCTTATTTTTATATTATAACAAGCGAAATTACAATTATGAAATGTCATTTTTAAACGTTTATCGCAAGAGAGAGAGAGGAACATTTATGGTGTATCGATTTATATATTTGAAATTATGTATTTTATTCGAAATAAAAAATATTCTGTCATTGTTCCATTTTTAATGTATCAATTAGCAAATACCATTTGTGCCTTTTTTATTTATTATCAATAAGAAATTCTAAAAATATAAAAATTGAAAGAATGACATTTTTATCATATATGTGGGGTGGGACCCGATTGACCACGATACGATTGGACTGATTGTAATGATTGGTTCGACCTAGTAATTCACTAGATAGTAATTCTTTTCATCGGTTGGTTGTGTCTAATCGTACCGTGGTCAATCGGGACGCTCCCATATATGTGTATGTGTATGTAGTTTATGTGCGGCGCGCGTGTATGCGTGCGTGTGTGTATGTATGTATACACTTTTACTATAAATAAATATAAACGATATATACATATAAGTATATTCTAGAATAAAATTCCTATTGTTATTTGTTAAATATTATAGAATTCACAAATGTATCTCACACTGCTAAAACAACTGATGGTTAGACTACCTAGATAGCCAAACCTGCGTGAGCAGATTTTGCGCAGTCTGTCAACAGTGTCTGTTGATAGAATGGCAACAGATTGCACACAGAATTTATTCTGACGATAGATTGGTGACAGACTGCGCGCAGAGCCTGCCGACAGGCTTTGACGGCAGATTGCGCATAGACTCTGTCGTTTCGTAGGTTCTTTAATTAAATGGCATACCCATACAGCACAGCAACGTCGCAGCAACATTGCAGTACAATAATGTGACATTGCAACAACATTGCAAGATGTTGCTGCAATGCTACTGCAACGTTATAGCAACGGTAAAATGTCTGCTTGCGGTAATATAACAACGCAACTGCAGCAACATTGCAATGCAATATATATAATATTATTAATATGTTTTATTATACAAAGTAAAATCCTAGATAACAATCTTACAGAAATATCATACTAATAAATACTAAAAAATTACTGGGGATTATGTATTACCAGTTATTCAGTAATTTTTTCGTCAGTACTTAATTTTTGGTGAATATTGATAATAAAATCACTATTAAATATTGATAGTAATCAAATACTGAGAATTATTGTGCGAATGTGAAAAATAAGAAAATCATAATATTTACAAAAATATACTTATAATTCCTAATTTTCTTATGTCTTATAAACTAGATATCGAAGATTGTCAATACACACCCCAAACTTTCGTGAATCTTCCCTCGATAATTTCGATTCCAAGCGGTATACCACCGATCACCATCTATGTCCTTTATAGAAATATCATAAATACTGAAAAATACTGAAAAATTATTAGTGATTAAATATTACCAGTAATTCAGTAATTTTTTGGCCAGTACTTAATTTCTGGTGAATACTGATAACAAAATCACTGTTAAATATTAATTGTAATCAAATACTGAGAATTATTATGAGAAGGTGAAAAATGAGAAAATCATAATATTTACAAAAATATACTTATATTCCTAATTTTCTCATGTCTCATAAACTACTAGATATCGAAGGTTGTCAACACATTCCAAACTTTCGTAAATCCTCCAGCAATAATTTCGATCCCAAGCGGTATACCACAGGCACCAATCCATGTCCTAACCCCGTTAAAGTGTTGTTTAACTGACGATCGAGCGACACGCGGCGATTCCCAATGACTCCAACGATATTCTTACGATTAATGCATATATAATGTATCCTTATAGTGCTCACAGTATATTATAACATACCTAGCAAACACCAAATAATAGTTATATAATTTTTACTTATTGTTTATTGGATAATTTGATGATAGATATTGAAACACTCGATATGCGATAAATATTGATGTAATGTAGTGAACCAGTGATAATTACTTTTACATTTTTAACAAAATGTTATAATGATTAATCCAACAAAAAGAAAATTAAAAAATCCAAGAAAGTCCAAATTAAACAAATCGAATTACTAAATTTTGAAACTTTTAAAAAATATTATTTAAAACAATAGTGTTGTTTCATCAAATGACATAGTTTCCTTGAACGAAATAAAAGTTTTATTTTCATCATTTTAAAAAATGATATTTCGTTTAAGAATATA